AATCTAGTCAAATTCTTCTTCCCAAGTCAATTCAAGCATATCTTATGGGTAAGATGGATTCATAGTAGATATCTAAAAGGAGTAGACTTTTGGGACTTTACTCCAAGGCTGGATTCTTGCCATTATTGGAAAGAAATGATCAAAGTGAGAGAAGCCTTTTGAGACATGCCAAGACTGAATCCTTACAGAGTTAAGGATGGCTATGAATGGCTACAAGGAGAAGGGAGAATCCCTAGGTGGAAAGACTATGCTTGGAATAAACTTACACCACCTAAGTTTCAATTTGTGACTTGGCTGCTGTTAAGAGGGAGGATACCAACAAAAGTAAGGTTGCGCAAATACCTTAATATTAATACAGATTGTGTACTATGTAGTCAAGAAGAAGAAACTGAACATCTATTTTGGGATTGCTCGTTTGCGCAAAGTATCATCACTGCCTGTTTCAATAGATTCAACTTTGGTGTTCACTTGGCCAAGTTTGAGGACCTGGTGGCCATGGTGCAGGAGACCAAAATGAAGAAAACACGAATGCAGATTGTAGCCATATGGGCTGGATGTGTTTACAGTATATGGAGAATGAAGAACAAACTTGTACACCATAAAAGCTGTACACTAGAGGATGCTACATAATTTGTTTGTTTTTATACTCATAGCTATATTAGATACAGGAAGATGATGTAATGGGGTTTGGATAACTTCTTGTATTTGGTTTTGGTGGTGTTAATGAAGTTTTGTTTTTCTGTGCAAAAAAGTCAATTCAAGCACCCTCCACATAATTTCCCTCCTTAAATGGCAATTCAATCCACCTACTTCCCAAGTCTTCACAGTTTCGACACACCTCAACAGAGAAAGAGTGAGACTAAAAGTTTCTCAATTTTTTTGAGGAAAAAGTGAGAGAAGGGCCAAAGCAAAGGTTTTTCATTGATGAGAGTGAGTGATTAGGAAATGTTTTCCTAAAAGAAAGTGAGTGAAAAAGTGTGTGCCTACTATTTGTAATAGTAGAAGAGATTGAACACTTGTACCTACTATTTGTAATAGTAGAAGAAGAAATAGAAGTGTTTTTGGATGTAGGCATGTAGCCCAAACGTTTTGTGTGAACCACGTTAAATCTTTGGTGTCCTACTTTGCTTTAGTTTTTATCCCTCCATATTTTATCGTCTCTTCCGTTGCGCCAGGAAGAGAATGAACCGGCGCTCTCCATCCATACATGTGGCTTCTTGCAGGAACTTTCAAGCGTCAAATTTTCTTCTTGCTTTTATTGCTCTAGGCAACTAGTATTACCCATCTCCTCCCTTCACTCCTTCAGGGTTAACCATAAACATTCCATTGGCTTTAAAGTGCCACATAATAGTGTCACCTGGCCATAGTTGACCAAGGAGATAAACAAAATCAATTTTGCATCAATGGGCCAAAGGAGGTTATGGATCATCCCTCCTCTCCTACCTGAATCTCTATTGATTAAATTTCTCACCATAAAGTTTGGATCATTCTCCACTCTGGGTGCTTTTACTTTGAATGTATAAGGTCGTGGAGTCCACCGTGACTTCCATGCTTTAATGGAACAACCATCACCTACCGCCCAATGCAGCCTACTCTTCAAGACCAAAGATAGCCAATGCAAAATATGCTAAAAATACCGGGCCTGCGATCCATTTCAGCTTTGAAGATAGTATTGTTGGGAAAATATCTAGTCTGGAGGATGTGACTACAAAGTTACAATGGCTCAGTAGTTAATCACCTAAATTGTTTTGCCAGGAGAGCCTTCATTGAGTGCCTTGAGATCTCTAAAGCGCAATCCACTGTCCCCCTTGGCAAGAAAAAGGGTGTTCAAGTTCCTCCAAAGGCTCCAATGGATCTATCTCCAACCCCCTGTATGACCTCACCAAAATTATCTAATACGACCTTGGATGTCTTCATAAAAGCAATTTGGAAGTTTGAAAATGCTCAAAACATAGTTAGGAATGGCTTTGGCTGCAATCTTAAGTAACCCCTCCTTGCCTAACCATGAATGAAACTTCTCCATCCACCCTTTTAGGTTCCTGCATATTTTATCATTAATCGGAAGAAATTGTTATTTCAATGTCTTCCCAATGTAGGTTTTGAAGCTCAGATATTTCTTGTGCCATTGCACTTGTTGAACACCAATAAAAAGTACAATCTCCTTGCAGATTTCCTAGCGTCTTTAGCCAATAGCGCATCAGTTTTTGACATGTTAATGTGTTGCCTCGATGCAGTCTCATACCAAAAATGCAAGCACCTCCGATGTAGTACCACATCAGAAAAAATTTGTGTTCACTCTCATCTTATTAATTGGAGACATCTGCACTCCACTTAGTAAAGCATAGAAAGCAACTTCAAAAGGTTGCATACTAATTCTGAAAATAATTTCTAAAACAAAGTGTTACTTTATCATTTTATATTATTTTATTTGTTATTAAAAAATTGCCTTTAGCACTTTAGCTAAGGTAACACTTAACAATAAACTATGCCCTTGTTTCTAACTCAAATATTCCTCATAGGCCAGATATAGCATAATTGATTGTTAGATAATTATGGGTGCGCTGAGTTTGTATCTTGTTGAATTTTCATTCTTGTTGTGATAAATACAATGGTGCATGTTAAAAAGTAAAATTACGTGGTTGATATTGATGTTAGAAAGTAAGAACGAATGTGAACTACACAAATATGACCAAATTTGGTATGACACAAAACCGGGGGNGTCGGATAGAGATTATAATACATTGATGCTTGACTATGGACTTCTTACTAAATACTCCCTCCGTCCCACTCTCTTTGTCCACTTTCTTTTTGGACCAAATACCAAGGCAAGAAGAAAAGTGGGGTAAATTGTCTAAAATATCCCTATTGAGATTATCGGCACACTAGATAATTCAAAGTCGGAATTGAAGTTGGCTTCTCTGCTGCTACACGTTCCCCAGAGATTTTCTGCCAGTCTGTCGTCCTCCCTTCACAAGATATCATAACCGTCGTCCTCTTTTCACCGGAGATTGTCACTGCCATCCTCCCTTCACAAGAGATCTTCACCGCCGCCCTCCCTTCACAGGAGATCGTCCCTTGCATCCTTCTTCATTGACGCAGTCCTTTGAAAATAGCTTTTGAAACATTCAGGCCCCGTTTGGTACACGGAATTCAAACAATAAAATTGGAATTGAGGATATCAATTCCAATTCTGGTGTTTGGTAGCACAAAAATTATGTGGATTTCAAATTGATAGTGGAAAAAATGAATTGGAATTGGCAGAATTCAATTCTATGGAATTGAATCCCATGGAATTTCAATTCCAATTCAATTCCAATTTCGTCAATTCCGTATACCAAACGGACCCTCAGGTCTTTATTCCCTTAAAATAGATCTGATTCATACATGACAAAAAGAGAAAAAAGAAAAACAAAGTGCAAACAATCGATCTCTTCATCAATTCAACCGAAAGATGAAAGGAGGACACCATCTTTGGGAAAAGCTTAGGTTTGTTGCGGTAGCATCTGCAGTTACCGAAAAATAGATCTGACCAAGAAAACTTCGAATAAGCAGCGATACAAAATAGATCTATTTCACCGGAGTAGGAAGATCGGAGTTGCCTGAGAATAGATATCTATCGCCGGAGTAAGAAGCCCAGCATAGCTGGTCAACAAAGATAATTCTGAAAGAAAGTATCTGTTCATTGATTGAAGAGGACTGAAGAAGATACTTTAATTCATATTCTGTAATTCTCAATTCGGCTAACATGACTTGCAAGGGTATATTGGTCATTGTACCCTTTAGTATTTTACCAAAAATAGAAAGTGGATGAATACACATCACACATAATAGCCCAAAAAGGAATACTGGACAAAAAGAGTGGGACAGAGGGAGTATATACGAAAGACAACATTATAGAACACATGTATTAGTACATATTATAAATCCAATATGTTATTTGATATTATGATACTCCCTCCGTCCCTAATTTGATTACAGTATTCCCTTTCATTCTTGTCCCAAAAAGAATTACAAGGTTCCAATTTTAACACCATTTAGACCATTTTACCCTCCCTTCCATCTCCCTATGTAATGATTTGACTCCTCCTTAATTGGGGGTCATTTGGGGAAAAATTCAATGATTTGACTTCTCCTTAATGTTCTAAAAAATGGAATATTGTAATCTAAAAGTGGACGGAGGGAGTATGTAATTATTTATCTGTACCCTTGTTAAATATAAGAGATTACTATTACTAAAGTATTCTTCCAGTTTGACTTTTTCTAGTTAAATTAGATGAACTTTGATAAGCAATTAAATTAAAAATATATTGCATATTAATTAAATGAAAGATAAGTTTCCGAGAGTCCTTTGTGACAAGAGGATATCGATGAACGTGAAATGGAAGTTTTATGGGTTGTGGCTAGACCATGTATGTTGTATGGTGCAGACTGATGGACAGTAAAGGATGCTCACATTTAGAGGCTACAAGTGGCAGTGATGAGGATGTTGAGGTGGACGTGTACGAGGATGGATATGATTCAGAACGGGGATATTTTTGGCAGGGTAAGAGTTTATTTCGAGGATAAGCTGTGTGAAGTTAGGCTGTTTGGATACGTCTTGAGGAAAGGCACGGATGCCCAATGAGGAGGCGGGGGAGGCTTGAGTTTGGGGGCAAAATGTGGAGTTGAGGTAGACCTAAGAAGAGGTGTAAAGATGTGAGACATGACTGATGGGCTATGGCCACCAAATATCACTGAAAATATGACCTTTGTTTGTGCCTTTTACTTTTGTGCTTCTGTGCCAATAATTCATTTGTTGTTGTGGTCCTGTGTCTTGAGGTGGGATCTCTCAGAAACAACCTCTCTACTTTCCGAGTAGGGATACAGTCTATGTACACACCCTTCTAGACCCCACTATGTGGAATTTTAATGGGATGGCTATTGTTGTTATATTAATACAATGAAATAATTATTTTAAAGATTTTTGCAAGATAAATCTATTGAAATTATTTTTGTATTAATATGCAATATAAGTTTTATGTAATTGATGATCAAAGTTTGTCTAGTTTGGGTGAGGGAGTGTTTGTTAATGATTTATGCTATATGTGATATTTTCATTTACCTTTAGTTGTTTTATCGATTGTAAAACAAACAACAACAACAACCTAGGTGAATCCCACAACAGTAGGGTCTGGGGAGGGTGTGTGTACACAGACCTTGCCCCTACTCGAGAGTAGGGAGGCTGTTTCCAAGAGACCCCCGGCTCCACCTGCACAAAAATATGGAAGGGAACACAATATAGCACAGATAAAGCGCCAACAAGTACAAGCAATAGCAAAAGATTCCAAACAAATACAACACACTACAAAGCAACCTCTACAACACTGAGCTCCTATCCATCTACTCTAATCCTAGTTTTCCAAAGGTTCCTATCTAAGGCCATATCCTCAGTGAGGTTGAGAAGTCCTAAATCCTGCCTAATCACCTCCTTCCAATTCTTCCTGGGTCTACCCCTTCCCCTACTTCCCCCGATAACCGTAATCCTCTCGCATCTCCGTACAGGGGCGTCAGCATCCCGCCGTCTCACATGGCCAAACCATCTCAACCTCGCTTCTCGCAACTTATCTTCCACCGGTGCCATGCCTACCTGACGTCGAATGACTTCATTCGTAATCCTATCCAACCTTGTCTTCCCACACATCCATCGTAACATCCGCATCTCTGCCGCATGCAGGCGACGCACATGAGTCTTCTTAACCGCCCAACACTCTGCCACATATAACATAGCAGGTCTGACTACGGATCTATAGAACTTACCTTTCATTCTGGGCGAAATCTTCGGATCACACAACACCCCTGAAGCTAACCGCCATTTGGCACAAGCCACTCCAACACGGTGTCCAACATCCCCATCTAACTCCCCATCAGCCTGGATTACCGAGCCAAGATATCGAAACATGTCTACCTTAGGTACTAGGTGAGAGTCAATCCTGACTTCCACCTCTCTGATTCCCGGCCGCTGAAACGACATTCCATGTATTCAGTCTTGCTCCTACTTATTCTGAATCCTTTAGTCTCAAGGGCAAGGCGTCAAAGTTCCAACTTATCGTTTAGTCCCTCACGTGTGTCGTCGATAAGCACAATATCATCCGCAAAAAGCATGCACCATGGGACCCCATCTTGGACACCTTGAGTTAGGACGTCCATCACCAAGGCGAACAAAAAAGGCCCTGGTGCAACCCCATCCCTACCGAGAAAGAATCTGAGTCGCCCCCCCCCCCAGAAGTCCGTACCCTGGTCAAAACAAATAAAACATTAATAAAATGTCATAAAGAATGAGATTTTTTTTCTTTTTTGGAACAACAAAGATTGATAATTGTTTAAGAGGGTTCTTTCCCATACAATCCATGACGTTTTTGGCTTGGAGCAATTGGGCCAATTCTAGAAGGCATAAAGCGAAGTACATAGGTGTACGGTGCAAACACAATTCAGGGAATTAAATGATCGAGTCCATGCAAATTTTATCATTAAGGGACAATTTAGTGATTTACCACAAGCTCCTACACTCTGAGACATGGCGGTTTTGCTACTCATTCTTTCGGTGCTATTTCGCTTACTATTTCTCTTTACGGTCTGGTGCCAAATTCAGTATAATGTTTACTTTTGTGATATAAATGTTGGCAGTTTTAGTTTAGCTGAACCACCCTTTGTATTTGGCTAGGTGAATGCACTTCCCCATTGGGCTTAGGCATTGACGTTTTAAACCATCAGTGAGGAGTACTAGTCACGTAATAGTTGTCTTTTGGGGAGTCTGTAGTATTATAATGCATGTTTACTTGTCTACAAAGGAAAGAAAAATAACAGAATGTCTATTCGATATTCTTGCACACACACATACATTTAGCTATTTTTTTTACCGAAGGGTGATGCTATATCTCTTTTGGCATTACTCTAATGTTGGCCTACATCTTCTATTTCATCTTTTCAAACATATATGTAAGATGTTTTTTTTGGAAATTCTAATGTACTCCGTACTACTGTATGTGAATTTACATATTGCTGTATTCAGTATTGCTAGCTATTGTATAGCAAGTAGAAGTCATAATTTCTAAATTCACTTGAAGATTAATGAGTTTGTTTGTTTGTTTGTTTGTTTGTGTAGCTTATGATAGAGCAATCAATGTTGGAATCAGATGAAGATGTTGATGATGTTGGTACTTCTCCAAAGGAAGAGACGGAAAGTCCACCTAGACGTAATCGGCCCAAACGACAAGTGGAGACTCCATCTGCATAAAACTTCCACCTTGTAAAACAAAGTTCAAGGTAAATACTCCCTCTGTTCCGTACAAAACATCACGGTGTGACTTTCATGGAGTTAAAAAAGAAGAAAGAGAAACTTTTTGAGCCACATAATCGTTTCTTTAAAAGGAAAGTGAATTTTTTAATGGATGAATGAAAAAGTGAACGATGAAGTTTTTTATGGGACAGAAAGGGTTGGCTGTCTTGGGATTCATCTGTATTGAATACTAGAGCTGTTTTTTTCATGTGTATTGAAGTTTTTTATGGATGAATATTGAATGTGGTGTTTGTGCAAATTTGTATCATTGAAAATAAAGCAATGAATTTCCATTGCTATTATTGGAACTCGAGGGTACTCCAAGTGTCCAAGTTAGTTATTCTCGTTTTGGCTAGGTACAATTTTTAATGCAAGACAAGTAGTTGACTTTTTGATTTTGTGCTTTTAATTATAAATAAAATTGCCATGGAGGGGTTGTCAAAAAATTGCAATGGAGTGGGTGCTTTTCAAATCATAGAAAATCACTCCCATTCAAATATTCAATAATTCAAAGTATCGCTCCAAAAAGAAATTGCAATACAAAAAAATGTAGTGAGTTATAAAATTAGTCTCGTTTCGGAGAAAAAAATATTGTGTCACTTGCACAACTTATGCATTATATTTTTGGGGAAAAGATTTGAACTGAATTTTCGAAAAAAGATCACAAGTCGGATAGTTCTATTCTAGAAAAAAACAATTCGGATAATAGAAGATTATCAATAAACATATCAGAGTGTTGTTCATGAAAAAAATTGCAATACAACAAAAAATATAGTGAATTATAAAAATAAAAGTTTCATTTTAGAGAAAAAATTATTGTGTTATTTTCAAAACTGCTGTAATGTTTTTTTGTAAAAAAACATTTATATAGAATTATCAGAAATATATTCACAAGTTTTGTAGTACCATTTTTTAAAAAAATAATAATACTCCGTAGTATGGTATCAAAAAACAATTGAAGTGTCACTCAAAAAAATTGTAAACTTACAAGAAAATGTAGTGAGTTATGATATAAATAAATTAATTCTATTGTATAGAAGTAAATAAATTAGCTCTATTGGGGTAATATTGTTGATTGTATGCAATATAAGTTTTGGGACAAATAAGTTAAAGTATTATTTTTCAACATTTTTTGAATTGTTCGGATCAGAATAGACTGGATTTAATTAGATCTGAATGAGTCTGATCTGATATGATTGAATCTAATTTGATATGATATTAATCCTTTTGTCCCACAATATTTGGCATTTTTATTAATTATTATAGTCTCTCAATTCTTTTTGTATTTTTCTATATTCTAATTGATAATTTCATAAAATAAAATAATTTTAACATATTTTTCATGTATTTTTGATGAGTGCAATTTGTAGTTTTACTTTTAAACTAATTTATACCCGGTAATTAAAACTTTAAAAGTACTAATCAATGGTAATCATACTGCTATGGTCCGGCCGTCCGGGACTGCGTAAGGGGCTAAGGGCAGCATTAGGGCATTTTATCTGGACGGCCTAAGGGCATTTTAGTCTAAGCAAATTACAACGATTCTTTTTTTTTTAAATGCTAAACGTCGTTAATAAAAGGGTTAAAACCCTATTACAGTTCACGTCGTAAACTTCACGCTCTCTTCTTACCGCCGCCTCCGTTCTCCTGCTTACTTTCTCTCTCTCGTTCGCGCGATTCGCAATCCATCTCCCGCTGGCGGGCGATTGATCTTGGATCTAATAGATAATTTTCGCGCGATTATTCTCTTCTCAATAGATCTCCCGCTGGCGCTTGATATTGAATCTCTGTTATTCTTCATACTGCATTCAGATTCAATTTTGTTGCTCTCTTAACGATCTGAATTTGGTTTTGCAGGCCCTTTTATTTTCGAATTTTTCTCTTAACATATTTCTGTTTATAGCTGTTGTTGTCCTTTTTGTTTTTTGTGTGTTATTAACGTGATGGTTGCAGGATTCAGGAACCCCTCTATGAAAATGTTTCGTCAGTATGACTTGCCTCCTCAAGGAAAAAGATCGCATCAAAATGTATGTAATCTCTACCTTTTGTAAATTGATGTAAATTTCATCTGCACAATTGATGCAAAATGGTGTAAATCCCATGAAAAAGCTATCTACTTTCATCTGGAAATTTGATGTAAATTTCGTTGTCACTTTTATTTNTTGGTTTTGCAGGCCCTTTTATTTTCGAATTTTTCTCTTAACATATTTCTGTTTATAGCTGTTGTTGTCCTTTTTGTTTTTTGTGTGTTATTAACGTGATGGTTGCAGGATTCAGGAACCCCTCTATGAAAATGTTTCGTCAGTATGACTTGCCTCCTCAAGGAAAAAGATCGCATCAAAATGTATGTAATCTCTACCTTTTGTAAATTGATGTAAATTTCATCTGCACAATTGATGCAAAATGGTGTAAATCCCATGAAAAAGCTATCTACTTTCATCTGGAAATTTGATGTAAATTTCGTTGTCACTTTTATTTCATCAAGTAATCTGATTTTTTTTTGTATTTTTTGAAATCTCCAATGAATTATTATATGTTTCCACCTTTATCTGTTTGAGTTTCTTCACAAGCTAGTTTTCCAGAAATATAGTTGACTTAACAGAATTTTTTCTGGTTGCTTTTTTGTAGTTTGACAGGTTCATTCCTAACAGATCTGCAATGGATATGGACTATGCGCACTTTATGGTGACAGAAGGGTGCAAAGTGAAGCCGAATCCTGTGGCCAGGTCACCTTCAATCGAAGCATATCAAAAGCATCTTGTAGAGGTCTTCAACATGAACCGGAGGATCCTTGCTTTTAAAGACAAACCACCCACCCCTTTGCGTGGGTATCTGTACGAGGATTCTTCTGTCTCTTATGAGGCCAGACCTTCAAAACCTCTTCGCCAAATTCCTCAGGTAGAAAGGAATCTTTTTTACTTATTCAATACTGAGTGAATTTTAACTTCTTATTTATAGTTTTGATGATTGGTTCATTTTTGCAGACATCCGAGAGGACTTTAGATGCCCCAGGTCTTGTGGATGACTACTACTTGAACCTACTAGATTGGGGAAGCAGCAATGTCCTTTCTATTGCTCTTGGCAGTACTGTTTACCTGTGGGATGCTTCTCAGCGCAGAACATCTGAACTGGTCACGGTTGATGATGAATTTGGTCCTGTCACAAGTGTGAAATGGGCTCCCGATGGAAAGCATGTTGCTGTTGGATTGAATAATTCTGATGTCCAGCTTTGGGATACCACGGCTAACAGATTGGTATGCTTCTTCTTAAGCTCTTTTAGTTTGGGTCTTGTTTTCTTTTCTTTCATTGATTGAATAAATACTGAGAATTTGTTATTTTATTGTTGTCTGATGCTTGGGCAGTTGCGAACTTTGAGAGGTGGCCACCAATCACGAGTGGGAGCCCTTGATTGGAACAAGCATATACTTACCACAGGTGGGATGGATGGTCTGATTATCAACAATGACGTCCGGATGAGATCACATATTGTGAAAACATACAGAGGACACAGTCATGAAGTGTGCGGCCTAAAATGGTCTGCCTCGGGCCGGCACTTGGCGAGCGGAGGAAATGATAACCTTCTATATATATGGGACAGATCATCGACTGCCTCCTCAACAAATCAATGGCTTCACAGATTTGAGGATCACAGGGCTGCAGTTAAGGCACTTGCCTGGTGTCCATTTCAGGCAGACCTCTTGGCCTCCTGGGGAGGAGGAGGAGACCAGTGCATTAAGTTCTGGAATACCCATACCGGTGC